TCTAGCCCTCTAGCACTCCAGGATCCCAGGCATGCACAAATGCCTGGCATGTTTTCAGGCTGACCAGGCCAGGGACTCGAACTGCAGTCAGTTTGTGCCTTCCAGCTCAGCAGACTCTGATGGCACCAGAGGCTGGGCCTCAGGATTTATTTCGACCATCATTTCTTGAGAATACACACCCCTCGATCAGGCCTTCCACCCGCTCCCTGCTGAGGAGCCTCCTCTCCCCTTCCTCTCCATCCTATTCATCCTCTCTCTCAGGATTTCTGGTCAGGAAGCTTTCTCTTTTCCACAAGATTAGATTAATGTATTGGGTTTTTAAGCTGATGAATACTCAAAAGTAAGGTGAACGCCCCCTGTGACTCTCTTGCCTGGGTTTTCATCTTTGTGAAGTAAGAAGACCGTGTCCTGCCTCCTCCTGGCAAGTCCAGTCAGGTCTCTGCTCCCTGCTTTGGCTTCTTTGACTCTCCTTGGTTCAGTAAACCAGATTCATGTCACCAGAAATCATGGCTCATGGAAAGAGGAAAGAGGCGGTAGGAGAGGGGTGACAAGACACTTTCTCTTTCTCTCAGAACAAACTGGACCCTGGGTTGTCACTCCAGCTTTGTTGCCCTGGAAATCTGAGAAAGGTGAGGTGTCTGCAGTGCTATCACATTGCCTGGTTCGGGGGTCACCCTTCCTCAGGGAGTGCTTTAACATGAATGGCAGCTGGGAGGCCCAAGTAACCCAAACGGAGCCTGACTTCATGGGGGACCCTGGAAACCATGTCAGGTGGACCCTGTCACCCCATTATGGATCTCTCTCCTTGTTCCTAAGTATTGCTGGGGAGCCAAAATACTAGCCCTGAGCTAGGATGTGAAGCATGGCAAGGATTCCCCACAGAAGGAGGCCTGACATGGCATGTGGGGGGCTGAGGTCCTCTCCTGCATTGCCCTAACCGAATCTGATGCTAAGTGTGTGCTTTCTGGTAGTCCCCACAGCCCAAATGTCTAGTTGAGACTAAAAATAAAGATACTCCTGGAAGGTGTTATGATCTCCACCGATTCGCCTGAGAGCCCCTAAAAGCAAGTACTTTTACACCTACTTGTGCAGTGTTTTCCCTCTACTGGCCAGAAAATAGCAGAGGAGGAGAGGAGGCTTATACTGAAATTTCTCCTTCAAACAATGATCATCCCTGCCGATCATCGTCATCATCAAAAATCACCATCATTGCAGCCGCCAGCATCTATTTGTGGATTCCCACTATTGCCTGTCACCTCCTACTCTCTTGTCTAGATCACATATTACTCCCTGCTTTATTCTGTCACCAGCATTTTCTCTGAAGGACAGCTTCTCCTAGAAACATGCAAACTTAGAGTCCTGCTCTGCTGCTTGCATCAGACAAAGACAAGTCCTTCAGTCTGAGTTCTGCAATCTGAGAAATGGGAAGAATAATTCTTGCCCCCAGGGATATGCTCTGAAAGTGAGTTGGCTCCAATTATAAGTAATAAATGATAGTACAGTCTACACTGCTGAAAAGGGTGGCAACCAAAAGAAACTAGGGCCCCCATAAACCCCCTCCCCCCTGCTCCAATCACTGTCTCCAAGCAGCCAGTGGCTTCTCAGAGCACAATGGATAGATTATGGTGTATTCTAGGATATTACATTTTCTTAAAAGCAAGAAAGAAGAAAACAATGTGAAAACTCTCAATATCCAATCTCCTCTGCTAGGGCCAAAAGTTGAAGAAACAAGTGTCCCATGTACACAAGAAAAGAAAGAATTAGAGATACAAAAGTGGGCTGGGAGGAGGTAAGCAGCTGGGGGATGGGGGCAAGAAAGTGAGAAGAGATGAAGGCAAAGAGAGACCCCAGGAGCAGGAGAGACTGGAGGAGTCCTGAGTGGCTCAGAGTCACAGAGAGCAGGTCACTCATGAGGGCCTGTCCTGCACTCAGTCATAAGTGGCATATGCAGGTATCCCATAAGTGACATCAGGGACTCTTGCTTTCTGATACAAGAGGACTACTAGAAAGAGCGCTAAGTTGTGACTTAGGTGACCTTACTTCTAATCCTAGCCAAAACTCTTGAGCAAATCATTGCCTTTCCCAGGGTCCCAGCTCTCTCAGCTGCAAAACAAGGGAGCTGGACTGATTGTTCTCATGACTTTTTCTATGTTCAATTCAGTATTCAAATCTGTGGAGCCATTAGCGGTAGGTGGTATCTATGAACCTCCCTCTTGTTCCCACTTTCTCCAGAGGAGGAGGAACATACTTCCCTGCCTCACTGCCCTATTGATGGTGAGCTTATTGATGATGTACCTTGGCCAATGGGCTGTGGAAGAAGAGTAAGCATGCCAGATTGGAACCCAAGCTTTGAGAGACATGCAAGTTTCCACTAGCCCTCTTGCACACCTGCACCTGGCTAGAAGGAAGCACAGTCCAATAGTCCCTGCTCCTGTAGCCTGCATCCCAGCAGGAGGAGACACTTGGAGCAGACCCAAACCCAGTGCATAACCAGAAGCTAAGCCCAGTCAAGCCTAGCCAAGCCACAGCCATCTCACAAACCTGTGAATGGGAAACAAATGTGGGTTGTAAGGCACTGCAATTTTTGGAATTGTTTGTTACTGCTGCCAAGGCTAACTAATACACCATGTGACATGAAAGCGTATCTTGTAAAAGCACACATCAGGAACTGATAGAAAGTCTGCCTGAAGGAGAATTAAGGGCAGCCTGAGGGGTCCTCCGAGAAGGCCTTCCATGGTTTCTCATTCCATTCCAGAACTGTTGTACACCTCCATATGGAGACACAACTGATTTTTGGCATCAATGATCCATGCCTCAGCAGGGATAGGAAGAGTTTGGTGACAGAGGGAAGTAAATTATAATGCATCAATGTCAAATTTGTCCCCATTCATAGTCCTCTCTCTTTCACAGTCCTCTAAACTTGGGTTGTCTGTTTCTCTTACTACCTAGGTGCTGTAATGAAAAGACTCTAGAACTCAGAGTTGATAGATTGGTTTAGCTTGTGTGGAAAGGTAGCAAGATGGCTTACACAAGTTTACAAGTTCTAGCATCACTGGTCTCTGGCTGCTGTGACCAGTATGCAGATTTCCAGAACTTTCTGATTTCTTGTATTAAAGAGGACTCAAAAGAAATTCATACCAACATCATTCCAGTCAAATTCTAGCTAATATATATAGTTTCTTGCCAAACAGAGCACTGTACTATATTCAATATAATACACACACTTTTAGAACCACCAGTTAGCGTAATGGCTATGTCACTGGACTCCCACATAGTCAACCGCAGTTCGAGTCCCGGACTCGGTGGCTTAAACTCACTCCAGGCATGTGTGCGTGCATGCCCAAGATCCTGAGAGGAGAATGGAGGAGAAGGGATTGCGGCGTGGCCATCCACCCCTGAGGGGTGATTTCTAGCTTTCTCTCAGTCTGTCTGGCTAGCACGTACACCCTATAGCAAAAACCTCTCAAAAAAAAAAAGAAAAAGAAAAAAAAAATACACACACTTTCATGCCTAGAGAAGACAGCTGTATAATTCCAATGTTCCCAATACTATGGCATAAGGATAACCCAAGAATTCCAGATTAGTCTGTATGACCAGTGCTTAAACATTCTTCATTTCATTCAGAGAAACCAGGGCCATTCCCCACATTCTCAGGTGCTTGGACCACGTATTTGAGTTAACAGCCACAACCATCTGTTGGTGGCAGGAAGACCCAGCCCTCTAGCAATCAACCCAGTATGGTGGAATATAACTTCAGAATAGGGTAAGGGAGGAGGCAGAAACTGAAGTAGTGAGTTCTGATGTTTTTCTGTAACACTGAAGACTTTCAAATAAAATCTTACCTGGAACAGAAATACATGTAAATACAGGTTGAGCATACATTATCCAAAATGCTTGGGTGGGACCAGAAGTGTTTCAGACTTTTGTGTTCTTTTTTCCTCATATTTTTGAATATTTGCATATGCACAATGAGGTATTTTGGAGATGGGATCCAAGTCTAAGCATGAAATTTATTTATGTCCCATATACTTTGTACACATAGCCTGAAGATAATTTTATACAATATTTTTGTATTGTGGCATTTTGACTATAACCCCTCTGTGAAGTCAGCTGTGGAATTTTCTACTTGTGGCATCACATCAGCATTCAAAACATTTCTGACATTGGATTTCTGGGTTAGGGGTTAGCTTATTTCCAAGAGTAGCTCCTGGAGCTGTGTGTGGAACCCTAGTAACGCATAGGTTTATTTTCTTTTGTTTTGTTTTGTCGTTGTTGTTGTTTAGGATTTTTTTACTTTCATGAATGAGAGGAGAGAGAGAGAGAAGCACTCTTAGTAGGTCTTCATACCAGATTTCACCCCTAGCTTTAGCCAGCCCAGAATGATGGGAATGCACGTACCCAGTGTGTTCAAGGAGCTCTCCAGAGGTAAACCCAGATCCTTCCCATGTGGGTCAGCCTCACAGAGGCCATACCACTGTTTGGCCACTACAAACAACTTTAAAACTACTAGATTAGAGAAATTTAGGACATTGGAATAGGCTTATAGAAAGCTAAAAAAGCGGGGAGGGGTAGTGATGCCAACATGGCTGTTTGTAGGTACTTTGCTGTGAAGAGAATGGAATTAAATGTATAGGCATCTTTGTCATGCCTTAGCAGCCATGGGGTTATACAATGAAAAAGAAGACTTCCGCATCCTGCTTGCGATAGATAACTGGCCAACTGACTTTTTCAAATCTTCTTAAAGGCAAGCCTCCTTATCCTTATCCTCAACTAGGCGAGACAGTTTTACTTCAGAAAGATTTAGGTCTTCTTTTTTCCCTTCCTCCTCCCCCTTCCCACCTAACCATCAAACTTAAGCCAATGGCCTCTCCTGAGCTTATGAGTCTCAAGCCTCGTGCCATCTATGCTTTAGGATTCCTCAAAGAGGAATTGTAAGGGTCCTGTTCCTCTCCTCAGCACGTGGCTTCCCACTACCCATGAAGGCAAGCCCCCAGACCCACCTATGCACACCACGTCCATGAAGCCATACATCCCATAGCAGATCTGGAAGAGGAGGTCTTGGCGCTGCCATTTTGCTGAGGGACTGAAGGTTGACCAGATGAGCCAAGAGATACTGGCGATGAGGAAAAGGGAACCCAAGATGGCAGCTGCAATCTGAACCTTCTCAATGACTGTCAGAGAGATGGCCTGCCACTGGGGAGAAGAGAAAGTCAGGTTAGCTGTTGCTTGGGTTCCTTCATCCCATTCCCACCCCTTTTCCTTTGGCTATGCCAACAGCGCATCTTTGATTTAAGATTTAAGCAAAGACTTTCCAATGTGTAGTAAAATGGATGTGCCTGCATGTTTCTGAATGTTTACATTAAACTTTTGATGCAGAGAAAATATATATCACACCAAATGATCAGGAATCATTGTAAGGAGAGAGTTCTGTGCAGGCATGACTGGAAAGGGAGACCTTTATACTTGATTGTGATATAGACAAAGAAATAGGAGACAAAAAATGAAAATGTGGAGCTAGTGTGGGTGTTCCAGAGTCCCAGAATGTTCTTTTTAGAGAAATATAACCTATATTCTCTCCAATAAGTGTTAAGAAAGCTCAGGCCTTTCTTTGCTCATTTTCTACAACACCGTCTTGCATGCCATTTAATATATAGGCTAAATATTACTAATTCAGTACACAAGGGGAAGGCACAGGATGTGGGGGAGAGATAAAAAAAAACAGCTTAGAGGGCCAGCAAGGTGGTGTGGTGGTTAAGGTGGATGGATACCACATGTTTGACTGTACAGTTCAAGTTCCAGGTCCAGAGTCTTAATAAACACACTGAGAATGTGTGCATACATGTGTGCCCAAAATCCTAAGAAGAGAATGAAGAAGGGATTGCAGTGTGGCCATTCTTCCCCCCATGAAGTGATTTCTCACTTTGTCTCTCTCTCCAGTGAGCCCAGGTGCTATAGCAAAAACAAACAAAACAAAACAAAAAAACAGCTTATGATTTACAGAATGCATATGAACACTGATACTGCATTTTTTTTTTCACAGAAAATGTACTTTACTTATAGTAGTATTGATGGATGGGTTGATGGGTTGAAGGCTGGAGTTTGGGTGAATTTCAGCTCTAAAATTCTATGATTCCATAGCTGGTTCAGGAAGCACAGGCCTAAGTAAGCTAAGAGTTTAATTCTGATTTGGAGTTTATTCATGCACTCACTTAGCAAATTGTTTCTTTTCATTATGCTGGCCGCTATGCTAGATGCTAGAGCTAAAACACTTAAGCAAAAATAAGCAAAGTCCCTGTCCTCATAGAGTTTACAGTTGATGGAACATACACAACTAAATAAATACTTACAACTGTAATTCACCAGGGATAAGAAAGGGAGGACACAGCACTGTGAAAGCCTCTGATGGGGGATTTGACCACCCAGAGGAAGCGAGGCTTAAGCTAAGAAGTTGACTAGACAAGATGTGGATAGAGTGCTCCAGGCAGAGGTAGAAAAGCATATGCAAAAGCCTTGTGTCAGAAGAAAGCTCAGTGATTATAAAAACCTGGAAGAAAACCAGAGTGGATGGAGTGGAAAGAGCCAAAGAGCATGTGAAGTGGAACAACTAGAAAAGTAGAAAAGGTAGGCCATGTAAATTTTATAGACTATGCACAGATTTCATACTTTGTCCCATGAGTAAATGTGATGCTATGAATGGTTTTAAGCAGAGAACTGACAGGATCAGATTTTAAAAGGTGGAAGGAAGGATATTTCTTGATTGAAGGGTGTGATGGTTAATTTTGGGTGTCAACTTGACTGGATTGAAGGATGCCTAGATGACTGGTGAAACATGGTTTCTAAGTGTATCTATGAAAGTGTTGTCAGATGAGATTGGCTTGTGTGTCAGTGGGCTGAGAGAGGAAGACCTGCCTTCAATGTGAGTGAGCACCATCCAACTGGCTGGGAGCATGGGAGAAACAGAGGAAGTGGCAGTTCTGCTTCTTTCTCCTCTCTCTCTCTCTAGATGCTTCCTTCCAGAGCATGCTGCACATTCTACTCCACATTGCTCCTCCACTTGGCTGTTGGCTGCACTTATGCCTGCTGGGTCCTGATCCCAACACCCCTGCAGCCAGACAGACTCCAAGTTCTTTAATGTTCACACTCTGGACTTTTACCAGTGGCTGTCCAAGGGCCCCCTTTAGGTCTTAAACTGGGATTATACTAGCTTCCCAGCCTCAGTCTTTTGACTATTGCTTCCACTTGCAGACAGCCTATTGTGGGACTTCTCTGCCTTGCGATCACATGAGATGATCCTTGTAATAAATCCCTTTATAGGTGTATGTGTGTGTGTATGTGCGCAAGCACGCATGCGCGCGTGCACGTGCGCATCCCGTTGGTTCTGTTTCACTGAAAAACCCTGACCAATACAAAGGAATTTGCATAACACCATGCAGAGAACACTCTCAGAAAGCGTTTCAGTCTGAATTCTGAAGAAAGGCAGACATCTTCCACTCGTCGATAGGGAGCCCTTCACTATGCACTGATGGCATGGAAGGAAGCACTGATTCTGGCTCCAGCTGGCACTGGCCAATGTCCCCCTCCCCCAGAAATTGCAATCATTGGGAAACAGTTCACTTGCTAGCCCAGATGTAGGACATCAGCCTTTCCATTTAATTATACAGATAACATCCCATTGCAGGTAATTGGGTCTTTAGATTTTCCACTGCTTACTCCAGCCTAAGGTTATACAAACAAAGGAATTTTCCAGAAGTTAGCTCAATCACACAGACTCTCTTGAGTACAACAAATGCATTTTCCAAGGCGTGCCCCAATGCCTGGAAAGAGGGCTCCTGACTGGACTTTTTGCTTCTACAATCAAGGCATCGATAACCCTCCCTTTCTCTTGCTGTTCTAGACTTCAAAAACCCCAAATACAGAAATACAGAGGCACAGAAAGGCCCCCCATCACCCCTAAAATCCCTCGACCAGTACCCAAACTACTTGGGGAATCTAATGGGGCTCCTGACCACAATGTGAAGCATGATGAAGGGACAGGGTGGGATGCCAAAGAAAAAGCACTCTCCTCCTGGCTGTCCCATGTGAGAGTCCACAGAGATGCAAGGAGAAAACAGTGAGGGAGCTCTGAAACCGTAAGAGAAGAGACTGGAAAAGGGAGAAGGCACCAGTGGACCAGGTTCTGCTGACACCACACGACATCTAGAACTTTGAAACCTGTTTCCAAGTGGGATTCTTTTTTAATTTTTTAAAAGAATTATTTATTTAATTCTATTCATTTATTTATTTAAATTTGACCAGAGGGAGACACAGAAATAAGGAAAGTGAAAAAGCAAGCCACCAGGTCAAGGGCTCGAACTGTGGTTGACAATGTGGGAATGTCCAGCGCCCTAACCACCATGCCACCTGCTGGTCTCCCAAATGAGATTCTAATTCCAGTGCCTTAAGACCTTCCCATTCTCCAAACTCCTACCCTGCAGCACAAGTGAGTAGGGAAACAGAGAAGGAAGAGCATGAATACTTGATGTTTTGTTCCTTCTAACAGGAAAGGGCATTAAGAAGGAGTGATGACCCAATTCTAGTGAAGCTCTGCTCCATTTGCTCCGTGTGACGAGGGGAAGTCAGTAAATTCCCAGGACTCTCAATTTTCCTTTCCATAAAAATGGAGAGAATTGGGCCTTCCTACTTCTTAGAGGATTGTGAGAGTGAAATGAAATAGCTCTTAAACCAGTGCTTCAAGGATATTCTTTACTATAGTTCTGCAAAAATAAAGGTAAGCATGCTAAGGTGGGGTGTTCCTAAAGATGTCTGTGCTCCCTGGGGAGAAGTGAAGAGGTCGGATTCCCTGTGTGCAACTCCACTCTGCCACTTAACAGACCCATAGCCTCAGGCAAGCTGCTGAACTCTCTATGCCTCCACTGTCACATCTGTAAATTAGGAATAGCAGTACCCACTTCACCGGGCTGTTTTTATGATTAAATTAGACAAATTTATGTGAATATTTAGAACACTGGCCCTGAATAGGCATTAACTGCATGTTCATTAATGTAATTGCAGTTCAGATGTAACAGAGAGAGGGATGGAAGCAGTAAGGAGCCCTGAGACACACAAGACCACGCTCTGACTCCTTCTGAGTGGTTATCCTGTCTAGAAGCATCACTTTCACAGGGTCACTGAGATGATGTGCCATAGTGAATTGTTGTGCTAGCTCTTGCAACTCTGCATGAGGCATGGACCATGAAGTGAGAGACCTTGAAGGAACTTCCCCTCTCTGACCCCCAGCCATCGCTCCACTGGCTTTCAGTAGGGCCTTCTAGCTCCTTCCTGTACTACAGACAGTCCAGCTTGGCTATGGGAGCAGGAAATACCTGCTCAGAGACCAGGCAGCTGTTTCACACTTGGCTGGGCCCAAGGAGCTCAGGATATACAATTGGACAATTTAGGCCAAAACCACACATGGCTATTTCTGGTCCAAGCTACTTCTTTCTTCTGGTACTATCTGGAAAAGTAAAATGATTTTTACTGATCGTATGCCATTGTGTTTCCAGGAACAATGGAATCCAAAACAATCCCCAGTATCTAGAAAGTCATAGATGAAGACAGGTCAGTAACTTTGGAATAGATCAATGGACCCATATTGCCAAGGCTGTCACTGCTCACTTGACTTGTATAATAAAATTAGAAAAATGTTTTTTTCACCCCAGGAAAAAGTTATCCCTAAATGGTTTTCCATTTTATCAGCCAAGGGTGGAGCCAGTGAGGGAGAGATACTTTGGGGTGGGCTTGTTGGTTTGAAATCAGTCTCTCTTGAGGCTTGAGCCAGCTGAAAAGGAAAGGGAGGGTTAATGCACGCAGGCCTCTGCTCACGCCCCAGAGGATGTGGAATCAGCCTTCTCGTGACACTGCTATTTTAAGACACTTCAAGATTTTGAAACGAATGGCTAAAGATGGAACCAGCGGCAGGGAGAAACACCTCTTACTCTGACCCTTTGGTACAGCATTGAAATGGGGCATGGGACTTTAAATGCCACCTTCTAGAAATGCTTGCCTGCTCCCCACCCAGGCCCATACACATGCACACCCATGCACCCAAACACATTCCTGGGAGTGCGCCATGTAACACTCCATAGGACCCACAATCAAACATCCTGACACTGTGGCTCCAGGTGTGTCTAGTAGCCTCTGTATTCAAAGACCTCAATCTCACCAGCATCACAAAACTGCTCAGCCCTTCTGATCTTCTAGGGCTGACTCCTCCAAACTCTTTTCTTTTTTCCTTAGAGAGATTTTTGCTATAGGGCGCACGTGCTCACCATAGAGAGAAACAGAGAGACAGAGAGACAGAAAGCGAGAAATCACCCCCGGGGAACGGCCATGCTGCAGTCCCTTCTCTATTCTCCTCTGGGTATCTTGGGCGTGTACGCACATGTGCCTGGTCCGGGACTCAAACCGCAGTTGACTTCGTAGGAATCCAGTGACATAACCGTTATGCCATCTGTTGGTCCCCTCACTCCTGTTTTCAAGAGGAAGAGTGAAACTGTGCCAGGCAGCTGCAGTCCCATCTTTGCTATCATATCATCTAATTGATTATGTGGCAGCTTAATTGGCTGATCATGTATATGTGAGGGTATTTTCAGAAGCAGAATGCTGTGTGTGTGTGTGTGTGTGTGTGTGTGTGTGTGTGTGTCTGTGTATGCACATCTCACAGGGAGAGTGATTTGGGGGCATTTGTGAGGGTGGCACAGGGTCCACCAGCCCCATTGGGGTTGAAGAATGTGTCAGGGTAGGGTGGGAGGGGTGGGAGTGGGCAGAAGGAGCCCTAAGTTCTGTCCAAATCTGTTTGGCAGACCCTCACCCCATCCCTGGCCCCGTCTGCCTTTGCCCCTCATGGTAGCCTTTTCATTTTCTCCCCCTTCCCTATAGCCTGTTTTCTTGGTTTTCTCAGCCTCTCTCTCTCCTGTCTCTCCTCCACGTTTG